CGCCATTTGTAATTTCGGCTCAGGCTCTAAGGGATTCCTAAGGGTGGCAAATGTGCAAATCTACTGGGACATTCTTTCTTAGGGGAGGGGATGGGGAGCCAAAGGAACTTAAGAATTCTCTCGCTGCGTTGGAGCCCAGCTGCCAGGGCTTAAGCTGAAGAGGCAGAGAGGACTCAAAGCGGCAAGCCCTGGGCTGATTTCACTGGTCCTGCTACAGATGGGATTGTCCCGTTGGTTTGGCAAGAGCCTGCTGGGCTTAAAGTGAAATGAAACCGGGGGCCCTGGGGACAGCAAAGGAAATTACAAATGACAGCTGCGTAGTTTAATAGCAACATCTGGTCCAGAGGCTTCATCTCAGACCGCTGGTATGTGAGGAACGGGATCCTTAGGCATCTATAGCTCGGGTGGGGGGCAGGGGGGGGCACTGGCTTGGAGCCGAGACAGTCCTAGGTTAAGCTTGATTTTCTTGCTGGCCTTGCTGTCTGCTAACTGGTGAACAGAAGTACAATAATACCTCTCAGTCCCCTCCCCCCACCCTTAATTTCCTTTTTTAAATTTTTTTATTTTTTTAAAAAAGCATGTTTAATAAAATTTTGTGAGCTGGGCGGTGGGGGCACACACCTTTAATCCCAGCACTTGGGAGGCAGAGGCAGGTGAGTTTGAGGCCAGCCTGGTCTAGTTCCAGGACAGGCTCCAAAGCCACAGAGAAACCTTGTCTCGAAAAACAAAACAACAACAACAACAAATTTTGTAAGACACAATAGAAAATACAAACTTTGTTACCAGTTTGAATTTCCTGAAGGAAAAAGGCATAGAGAAGTCTAAGAAGCAATGGGAATGCTGAAGAAAAGAAAAAAAGGAATAAAGATAACACTCCTATCAAAATAAAATTTCAAGCTGGGTAGTGATGGCGGGCACACGCCTTTAATTCCAGCACTCCGGAGGCAGAGGCAGGAGGCTCTGAATTCCAGGCCAGCCTGATATACAGATCAAGTTCCAGGACAGCCAGAGCTGTTACACAAGGAAACCCTGCCTCACAAAACCGAATAAATAGATTTAAAAAAAAAATTCAAGCCGAGTATAGTGACAGACGTCTGTAGCTTTAGTGCTTAGGGGGTGGAGGCAGAAGTTCAAGGAGTTCAAATTCAGGAGTTCAAGACCAGCCTCACCTACAATGCCAGCTTGAGGCCAGCCTTGACTACACTAAATCCTATTTCCCCAAGCTAAAATCAGTAAAACAAGGAACCATTGTGAGTGCCTAATCTGAGCACCACGGGAGGAAACAGGAAGGTCAGAGAAATTCAAGGTCCTCCTTGGCTACAGGGCAGTACACTGTAGCCCAGGCTGGACTGGAATGTAGTAGGTAGCTCATATACCACCGGCTAGCTCATTTTAAAGAAGAAAAAAGAAGTGAACGATATTAAGTAAGGATTTTGCTATTTTGACTCATATAGAATTCAGTACTATTGAACTCTCTCCACCCCCACGCCCAAAGAGGAAGCTTTATTGTGTGGCTGGGCTCAGTCTGCCTTTCTGACCCATTGGTTAGTATGTGTGTGGGAAGACTTGTGGGGAGGAAGATGGGAAAGATTGGGTACATGTTTCTATTCTTGGATGTTAGAGTCTGAGTTCGTGTGTTTTCTTTCTTTTTTGCAGAAGTTGGGGTTAATTAGGAAATAGAGAGTGGCACACATCCAGGACAAGGGAAGGGCCTGGTCTTCTCAAGAGTAAGTTGCATCTCTAGGCTTCTGGGTGGCAGCTTCCCTAGGGGGCAGAGTTTAATGGCGGGAAGCTTTATTCCAGAGTTAGGAAGCGGGAGGGGCTTCTAGGGTTTACTCCTCTTTCCTGGTGTGGGGGATTTGGGATGTGCCTGACATCAGATGCACCGAGGGGCAGGCTGCAAGGCTAATTAGGAGATGCCAGCACCATGAGGTGCAGGCCGTGTTGGTTCTAGCTAGTTTTGGGTGGTCTTACAGCTCAGTGGTCGGAGTGCCGCCATGACAACTTCCTGTTAAACAGCTGTGAGCAGCTTTGGTGGCAGCAGCTCCTGCCACCATGCACGTCGCCCTGCATCCCCAGCACCTGTCTGGTCTACCTCACTTCCTGCCTCAGACTTTTCCATCCTTTAGTCTAAAAGGATTGAAGCCGGGAAGAGAGCCATTCTTTCGCTTTCCCTTTTTCTCTCTCTCTTCCTTCCTTCCTTTTGTTTCTTTCCTTTTCTTTTTCTCCTTCCTTCCTTCCTTCCTTCCTTCCTTCCTTCCTTCCTCCCTTCCTTTCTTTTTTTTGAGACAGGGTTTGGTTTTCCTGTAGCTTTGGAGCCTGTCCTGGAACTCGCTCTGTAGACCAGGTTGGCCTCGAACTCACAGAGATCCTCCTGTCTCTTCCTCCCGAGTGCTGGGATTAAAAACGTGCACCACCACCACCCAGCTGAGATCCATTCTCCACAGCTACTTCGAGTTGACATCAGTCTGTTGACCCTGCATAGGGAGGCAAAGAAAGTCTCTGGCTATCCAGCCCAGGGGGACAAGGAACACTGTAGGAGACTTTGAAGTTGGTGTGGGTTGAAAAACTTGCCCTTGCTTTAGCAAAGGACGCTGAAATTCTGTGCAGGAGATTTTAAGTTTGTGACACCAACCTGACAACTTGTCTTGGGGGGCAGTTCTGATTTTGGAAGAGCCAGTTCTTATTCATAAGAATTACTAATGAAAGGCTTGGGGGAAAAATTGTTAGGGAGTTTATGTTTGGGTGGGTCCAGATCTTCCTTAGTCAGTTTCATCAAGACTCAGAGAGATTGAGCAACTCACTGACAGCCTCGTATACAGACAAATGAGTCACGGCATCTTGCTGTCCTTGGTAATTGCTAGGGCATGTCGAAGGGCTGAAGGCAGAGGAAGAAGCAGGCAGCCCTAGCAGCTAGGGTGACAAGCTCTACCTTGCTGACCTTGGACTCTTTCTGTTTTAGCCCCTCAAAGTCTTGTGTCTCAGGAATTTTCTCAGCGCTAGGAAAACCGGGGCGGTTAGTCCCCCCATGGCCGAGAGCTGGTAGATGGCTTCTTTCTCTCAGTACGATCATCCTATTCTCTTCACCAAAATGAGCAGCAGAGAAACATCAGCAACAACCTTGAGGCTTTTCAAGAACGGCAAGGAACGAGAAAAAAAAAAGTGAGACAATTCTATACTTATGTCTGCACAAGGACAAAAACAGATGTGCAGCTACAAAAGTGACCAAACACCCCCCTCTCCTGGCTAACTGGAGAGACTACCGCTTCTTCAGCGCTAAGTCTGGCCTTGTTTTTATCCTTCTGCCCAGGAAATATAAATAGACATAACCATTAAATACCGTTGCGTTTTTACAGGTTTAATATAACATAGACTCCTGCTTCCTTGGGCTCACCTCCAAATAAGCTAACACAGCCCAACTCCCAGAATAAACCCCTCTCTCTCCGAAGGGCTCCATTACGGCACACAGAGTGAGGTCTCCTCACAGCACAGAGCAAATGCAGCCCCTTGGATTGCCACCTTTCTTTCTTGAACTGTGACCTTAAATTGAACATACTTAGGAGTGCACACCCTTACCCCAGCATGCTTAATAATGTGAGCACATCGGGTTTATTTCTGGAGCCTCCCTAACTCCGGGGCACTGAAGCGTGGGAAGAGGAGCTCCCTCTAACTTGTGACTCTCTACTGCTGGACCATCTCTACGAGGGGATCGGACGTTTCTTTAAAGTAGAATCGTTCACTGGAAATTCCCATTTTCAGAGGCTCCCCACTTTGCAGGTATTGGACTAGCTCACCCCACGGACTGGTCCATGGACTGGTCCAGGACTGGTCACCCCACGGACTGGTCCAGGACTGGACATGGTCGTCAGTGCTGTCTGCAATAGATGCTTTAGTTCTTCTCAGCTTCCAGACACAGAAGGGGAGATGGAGCATATCTACGAAGAGAGATGCATTAGACGTAGCCAAGTTGGGGCTAACGAGATGACTCAGTGGGTAAAGACTGGCTCTCACCTGACAACTTGGGTTTGATACCTGGAACCTATATGGTGGAGGCAGAGAACTTGTTCCTGCAGTTTGTCATTTGACTTCCATACACGTGTCGTAGCACACATGCAGCCATGCAACACACATGTACACAAAATAACTAAAAATGGAATTAAAAAAGTAGCTGAGTCAGAATTCACTCCACCGAGATGACCCTAGGACCTCCCTAAAACCCAGAGCAGAGGCAGGGTTTGGGGGACAAAGCACAAATGGCTTGGTGAAAATGTACTGGGGCATGGCGGGCTGGGGGGCTGGCAGAACCGTTGCTCTAACTACTTTTATCCATAAAATAAACCTAGACACTTTAAGCCTGGCAGTATTGTGAACTCTTTTTTTTAAAATTTATTAATTATGTATACAGCATTTTCCTACATATATGCTGCAGACCAGAAGAGGGCACCAGATCTCATTACAAATGGTTGTGAGCCACCATGTGGTTGCTGGGAATTGAACTCAGGACCTCAGGAAGAGCAGTCAGTGCTCTTACCCTCTGAGCCATCTCTCCAGCCCTATTGTGAACTCTTGACACGCACCGATTCGCGTGCCCCTCACAACAACTCTGAGCCGTTATCACTTCTGTTAGTCCAATTTTACAGACGAGGAAACCAAGGCACGAAGAGATGTACAACACGCTCATCTAGAGAGTTGATAAAGAATAAAATATCTCCAACCCAGTCCCATAGAGTACCATACTGCATATAATCTAAGACAACACTGTTAGTTGCTAAGTAGGGTTTTCATCTTTAGAGGACAAGCATCCATATAATCTAAGACAACACTGTTAGTTGCTAAGTAGGGTTTTCATCTTTAGAGGACAAGCATCCATGTTAACACAATTAAAATGTCTTTTCCTTGTTCTTCAGCTGAAGCATTAGGACAGAGTGGGGGCGTGTCCAGAGCGTTCCTGTGCTTTATTTATTTATTTTTTTGAGACAGAGTCTATGTAATCCTGTCTGTCCTGGAGTTTGCTATGTAGGCTGGCCTCGAGCTCACAGGGATCCACCTTCCTCTGCTGAGTGAAGAAAGATCCGTGTCACCATGCCTGGCTCATCCGTGCTCTAGTTTTATGATATTACAATCTGAGCATGTGCCAAAGTGTTCTTGTTGCCAATTTTGACTTTTCAAATGTGTGCTGCACAACCTTGCACTAGGTAATAGAGAAGGGGCACAGGCTGTCTTCATGTCTTGAAGTAGAACCTTAACCTCGTCATGTTCAGAAATGTACTCCTTAACTGAGCATGCTCAGAAATGTGCTGGCCTGTGAAGTGCTTTCCTATGTAAATATAGACAGGCTCTCCAAATAAAATCCTTGCTTCCTTTGTTCTATGAGGACACTGCTTCAGAGAGCTCATGCCCTGGCCTTACCTGCTGCAGGTGAACCCTCCTCCCTGCTTGTCTCTGCTTATTTTGACTTCTCACTCTCTAGGAGATGAACTTACTGCGTTCGGCTGAGCAATCAGTTATAATATGTTCTGTTGTTTTATATACTACTAGGAAAAAAAAAGCTGTCAATCATAATGATAAGGAGTATTTGAGGGGGCCAGTGGCATAGATAAGAAGGGGTCTGAACTAGGATCCAAAGTATTTGAAGCTGGCTGTGGTGGCTCAGACCTTCAATTCTGGCATTTTAAGGGTTAAGGTGGAGCCAGAGGGATCTCAAGTCTGTTGTCAACCTGGGCAACACAGCAAGACCCTGTTTCAGGAAATAAAAAATAGTTGTAGCTTATCTAGTTCTGGAGGCCACTGAAATGTGACAGAAAAATGTACTTTTGAATTGGTGGATTATTTTTACTCCCGTTGGACTAAGTCCATTTTGGGAAATCTTAAAGTAGCAAGGGGAAAGCTTGAAGCCAGGTCCATAAGTTGCGCTTCAATGCTATTCTAAATTTCATGGGAATCTTTGATATTTGTATCTGAAGGAGGGCTTGTTAAGTATGTCTGGTTGCAGCAACCCTGCACGGTTAGGCAGTGGGCCAGGGCATACATTTCGTCCTATTGAAGTCACATCTTGTAGGGGGCCTGATGGTCCCTGTCTGTTCTGGGAAGTCTTGCCCTAGTTAATTAAATTAAGAAGCCAAAGCCATTTCCTTCCCTTGTGTTTGCTAGTGACTTGAAGCCGACTTGAAATATCTGCTTTGCTTTAACAAGAAAAGCCTCAACTACGTGAATGAGGCTGAGTTGCTTCAGGTGCCCGATGCCAAGTTTGAAGACTTGAGTTGGATTCCCAGAACCCACAGAACGGAAGGTGAGGACCCATTTCTACAAGCTGTCTTCTTACCTCAACAAGCATGCTATTCATACACATGCACACACACACAAATTACAAAAGACAAAATGAAGCCACATGTGGTAATACATGTCTAGAATCCCCAGGGCTGGGAGTGGGGTGGCGTACAGAGAAGTGTGTCTTAATAGGTCTAACTGAAATAATGAGCTCCAAGTTCAGTGAGGGACTTGTCTCAAAATACAAGATTTCGAAGTATGATAAAGGAAGAAGCCCAGTATTAGCTTTTGCCTCCACATATATGTGGATGAGTACACACACACACACACACACACACACACACACACCTTTCATTCTCTTTCTCTCACACACATACAGTTTCTGGATGACTTAACATTTATTTGAAGTATAAAAGATTCTATACCCCAGCGACATTCTAGACCTAAGTTGGTACAGCGCGCTCCACCCCACCACAGAACAGGCTATAGGCGTGGCCGGAGAAAGGGCAGGAACACACAGAAACAGGCTGATTGGCTGCGGTCACCACTTGCTTGACATCAGTGTGGTTTGGTTAGTTGGGATCCACTTAACTGTGCTGATTTGCTGAAATATAATTATTTGGTTACTTTTAAGTTAGTTTATAATTTGCTTGGCCACCAAGCTAGGCTGTAGTTTATTATGTACAGGAATTGCTAAATTTTATTTTCAAGTATGGAAACATGTGGAGCAAACTTATTTAACATCTAGATATATCTATGCTATTATTACTCTTTTTTTAAAAAGATTTATTTATTTATTTATTTTGTTTACAGTGTTCTGTCTGCATGTGTGCCTGCAGGCCAGAAGAGGGCACCAGATTTCATTACAGATGGTTGTGAGCCACCATGTGGTTGCTGGGAATTGAACTCAGGACCTCTGGAAGAACAATCAGTGATCTTAACCTCTGAACCATCTCTCCACCCAACCCCCGCTATTATTAGTCTTGATATTTAGAGCAAATTTTGAGTGAGAGTCTCTTCTGCAGGTTGGCTAGGAACTATTCAGCTTATAGACCATATTTTACAAAAGCATATCTTTTATTTTATTTTATTTTTGGCTGGATAAGATGCAATTTATTGAGGCTAAGCAAAACATATCTTTTAAAAGAGAAAATGTTAATTTTTCTTCCTAACTACATTCAAATTTATTTATTTATTTATTTATTTATTTATTTAAATGTTTTTTTTCAGGACAGGGTTTCTCTGTAGCTTTGAAGCCTGTCCTGGAACTCACTCTGTAGACTAGGCTGGCCTCAAACTCACAGAGATCTGCCTGTCTCTGCCTCCCGAATGCTGGGATTAAAGGTGTGCACTGTCACCAACTGGCTCAAATATATCTTTTAAAAAATCAATTCTTTATTTTTGCTTTGATTTATTTTGTTTACTTATTCATTTGGTTTCCTGAGACAGGGTTTTTCTGTACAGCTCTGGCTGTCCAGAAACTTGCTCTGTAGATCAGGCTGTGTTCAAACTCACAGAGATCCACCTGTCTCTGCCTCCCAAGTGTTGGGATTAAAGGTGTGCCCCACCACTGCTAGGCTTTTTATTTATTTATTTTGAGACTAGGTCTCTTTTTGTGGCATGGTTGGCCTGGAACTCACTGTATAGACCAGGCTGGTGTTAAGCTCACATAGATCTGCTTGCCTTTGTCTCCCAAGTGAATGATAGCCATAAGGGCACGCACCACCATGCCTGGCACATCCATTAAAATAATTGGTTTAATTGTGCATGTGTGCATGTGAGTGCAGGTGGTGTGGGACAATGGCCTGTAGTCTGTCAATTATATTTTAAATAAATGCTGATTGGCCAGTAGCCAGGCAGGAAGTATAGGCAGGACAATCAGACAGGAAGTAGAGGCGGGACAATCAGACAGGAAGTAGAGGCGGGTCAAGGAGAACAGGAGATTTCTGGGAAGAAGGAAGCCCTAGTCTGCCGTTCTGACCCAGCCATAGAAGAAACAAGATGTGACTGCCTCACTGAATAAGGTCCCAAGCCACGTGGCTAGCATAGACAAGAACAATGGGCTAACATAAGTTATAAGAGTTAATAAGAAGTCTGAGCTACTAGGTCAGTCAGTTTATAATTAATGTAGACCTCTGTGTGATTTCTTTGGGACTTAACAATTGTGGGAACTGGGCAGGACAGAAAACTCAGACCACATGCAGGTGCTTGTCAAGGCCAGAAGAGGGAGGTTTTAGTTGCAGGCGATTGTGAGCCGCTCAATGTGAGTGCTGGCAACTGAATTCCAGTTCTCTTAGAAATCCTGAGCAATATACGGCCGTGTGGTTAAGGCCATATATTGCTGGCCCCCCAACTACTTTTAAAAGGAAAGAAGACCATGGTTATCAGCTTCCATGTTTATTTGAAGATCTGTAGCACCTCTCATCTGTGTTTTGCTGAGACATAATTCATAAATAAGACAGGAACCAAAAGAGCTGAAGACCCTCTAGCTAAAAGGAAGAGAGGTTACGACATTGTATGGAAAACAGGGAATTTAGAAGCCAAAGGAAAATGAATGAAAAACCAAGAAATTTTTGGAGAATCTTGATTCATTCTGAAGAGGGAAGGGGTTAGAGAGATGGCTCAGCTCATATCCGAAACAGCAAGGAAAGGGGGAAGGAACAAAAGAGAAGGATCGTTCCTCGTTACCTAGAAGAGATTTGTTTGAGGATGTCCCTGGGTACCAGAATCCAAGGATGCTTAAGTCATTCACATAAAACAATACAGAATATGCATGTAACCTATGCACAACCTTCTGCATAATTAAAACCTTCTCTAGTTGACTCATAATACTGAATACAAGGTAAACGTCATTTCAGCAATTGTTAGATTGTGTTGTTTGGGGAATAATGGCAAGAAAAACGTTGCACATGCTCAGTACAGGTGCGATATATAAAAAAAAAATCGAAGTGGAACCTGAGACAAAGAACGCCAAATTTAACTGAAAAATGGAGAAAACATTAATAGAATAAACTACAACACAAA